GGAGATGGGAGAGGCTAGTATACATCAAGATCGTAATGGCTACATTGAACACAACTTTTGACCCAAAAGACAGAAGGGGAAGTAAGACGAGCGATCAAAGAGTACCTTTAGACAGATCACGAACAGTGAGATACGCGATTAGACGTGTATAAAGGAGAGACAGAGAGACAATAGCTGCAATTTCCGCCTTGGTTTACTCTATTGGTTGTAGATTTGATAGTCGTACTTGATCGCACCTCCCCAGATCGCCGGATCACATCCACCCAACGGGATAGACGACGTTCCGCCCAAGTTCATAACTGGGACGGAGCCACCGCGGGGGACTTGGGTCCAGTTGGCGTATCCAGAAGTGTTTGGATTTCCGGTCTTGATGAAAGCACCCCAACGTGCTTGGACTTGGTTGATCAATGCAGTTTGAGCGGCAGTAGGCGAAGGTACGGTGCCAAAGACGATTTGGATGTCATCTTCGTGGCACACGTGCCCATCAGCCGTACAGTAGCTGAGACCAGTGTTGTCAGGATACGTGGCCCCCTTGGTGAACTCTCCGACCCAAATGTTGCCCCCATTGTTGGCCCAGGTGCGAGCGAATTGGTAGTTAGGACAACGCCAGACACCATCAGTGCCAATGGTCGCTAATTGCGGGCGAATATCTGCCACTTCCAAGTCGGCTATGCCGTATTGGGATTTGACAGCGGCGTCACGGGGGGTGCCGTAAAGGATGGGCGCGACGAGGTCGAATGCTGCGGAGGGGAGGGCCCAGCCGATAGATTGATAGATGGGTTGACCAGCTTCATGAGATGTTGTGGTCAATAGCAAGTTCTTGGACCAGGCGGGTGGGAAGGAGGTCGTGAGGGAATAGGTGATCAGGGTGCCGTCGAGGACTGGGCGAAGGGGTTCACCTGCGCCAGTCGCCGGATCGATGCTTGGTGCATCCGAGATGAAAGGAACCTGTGCATCAAGGAGGGTCGCGACAGGTGTGGTAAGGCAGTTACCACAGTTGACAGTGGAATAATAGGCCGATTGTAAGGTGTTGAAGGTGGTGACGCTCAAGAACCCATAGTCCTAGAAAGGTATTAGCTAACGTAAAGACAGTTTTGAATGAGAGTCGTACCATGGGGTCTGATTGCAAGATGGCCCTGGAAAAGAGACTCGATGCGGAGGGAGCACCCAACAAGTTGCGGATCATGTTACCTCCAGAGCTCTGTCCAGCCAACGTGATCTTGTTCTTGTCGCCTCCTACATATCCAACAGTATTTCGGATATACTGGAGGGCGGTAATAGCATCCTGGACTCCAAGGTTCTTGTTGTTGCTATAAGCGGAAGGAGGGAGATAACCAAGTATTCCAAGACGATACTGAACGACGACGACGATAGAACCAGTAGCTTTGGCGAGATTTGAACCTTCAATGGCGGGGTCAGAGGCTGAGCCTTCCCTATAGGAGCCACCATGGAACCAGACGAGAACCGGAGCAGCATTGCCCGGGGAGGGAAGAGGGTTAACTTCAGGGGGAATATATGCCACCAAGTATAGACAATCTTCAGAGTATAGGGATGGGTCGACACCAGGCTGGGGGCACATAGGGGGGAGGTTGGGCGAGTTGGAGGCACTGGAGAGGACACACGTCAACGTTTGTAAACACCTTGAGGAGAATAAAATACACACGAGGGGATGGTGGCAGCCAACTGGGGAGGCTGGAAGCGTTGTGCAGTAGCATATTTGAGTGAAACGCGAATGACCCCTGCAGAATTAATTTGTCCAGAGATCGTCTGGCCTGAAGTGACATATTTGGCGACGCCATTAGTGCAGGTGACTCCATAGGAGGACGGGAGGCTGCATATGCCACTACCAGATCTGGATTTGAGACCATCAACCGGACGTCCCCACGACCAAGCGGCTTGCAGGATTAGAAAGAGCGACACGAAAGAGACGATGATAGCCATCTTCCAATGCTTGACCTTTAGAGAAAAGAGCGACAGTAAGCTACGTTTGAAAATTTTTGCGGAGAGGATTCCACAAAACGTCGAACGAGAAGCTGATGGGGGGAGTAAGGAGCGCAACTGACCAAGGAACGGTCGCAAGAAGACAGGAAGGCGGGCTGAAACCGAGCTTTATAGGTGTCGAGATACTTTGAGACCTCCATACAGATGCCAGGTATTAAATATTCGCGCGAAAAAAGCGAGGTTCAGGGGAGAGGCAAAGTGTTTGAACTCGATTCACCCGCATGGCAGCCTGGGCGCAACAGGGCGCAACGTACGCTGAAGAGACCGGCTGGCGGGAAGACGAGCGCGCCATTGTACTGGCCTTACACGGCAATGAAAGAGGCTAACATGGGCTGCATCAAAAGGGGAATCTCGATTGTCACATTCACTGCCAATACGGGTAATATACATTCACTGGGGAACTTTTTAATCAGAAGACGAGAATCCCATCACACTGCTCCTTGGGGCTTGGGCTCGGGTCCTGGAAAAAGGGGTACGAGAGAATATCCGAGAGTGGCCTGCGTTTTCGTAGAGCGCACAATTGAGAAGGAAGGTTGGTGGGAATCCTCTCGCCATAAAGAGTATTCCCAGAAAAGGGAAAAGGATCGACCTTGATATGGCTTCAATATTGTTTCAGGGAGTTTGAGATATTTGCATGTGCCTGTGGCCGGATGCGGCTAGCGAAACAGGGCTAGATGGTAAGCATGGTCCCTCTGCGGCCCTCTCAAATGTCGCATCGAAACCTACGGCTGTGTCTTGCTATTGCTGATCAATGTGAGCGGAACAGCTATCAAACGGAACGGAGCCCGCTGGGCAGGGTCACTTACTATTCACGCACTGTCATGGATATTGAGGAACACGAACGTCGGGGCTCAAGGTCAACGGATTGTCAGACATGCAGGGAGAAAACATACCACGCAGGATAAAATTGGTGAGTACGGCGACAAACAGAGCTGCAGCGATCAGCAGAGGCCCAGCAGTTTCATCTGTTCAAATTTCCATCATCTATCAGTCCTGGAGGTGTGATGTGACATGGGAAACTCACCAAAGTTCCCGGGGTGACGTTGACGAATCATTGTTATTCTTCGCTGATAAAGGAGATAGCCATAGACCTATTCCACCCCCCCAAAACCCACAGGCGTCGAAGCGGTCGAAGCGAGTGTCGGTTAATGAGTGACGAACGTTTTTCATCTGGGGAGAAACATACCAAAACTCCTATACTAATAAGAGCATATGTGTAGGCAAATTTCTTTGATATTTCATCTGGAGATGCATTGAACAGGGTAAGAGCGAGCATTGCGAGCAGGAGCGCAATGTTTAGATACGAAATCCATGCTGAAAACATTCGGTACATGTTAGCAACGTAAAATGGCCATAACCATAGCTCGATAGCAGTAAAAAGTTGCTCACTTCGCTCTGCAGCTAGCCAGACTTTGCCTTCAACCTTGATAGGAGTCGCGAGTTTCTGAGGCACTCGCACTCCTGGTGGCAAGTCCATCGTTCCATAATTCGGATCAGAAGGAATTCTATCCGCACGAGTCTCCCTTTCTCTATGTCCTGTAGGATTTCTAGGCAATGCAGCGAGCGCAGTTGAACTGAATGGTGAGAGCAGGTCTGCCATTGCGTGCCACGACTTTCTGAGTAGACCAGCGTCCTCAGAGGACGAACGTCCTAGATGTCGCGCAGCATCTACGTCCGGCGATGTAGCCATTACGGGTCGTCACTGTCGCCGTAGAAGATGATCCTGCGTTCGAGAAAGAGCGAGAAGTCGGCTGACTAAGCGAAACCCACATCATACTTAAAGCTCCATCTGCGGCCGTCGATCGAGTTCAACTTTGGTTCTGATTTTCACGACCATTCCTACACAACTTTATTAAAAATGGGAAAAGACTATTACAAGATCCTAGGCGTTGAACGCTCTGCAGACGATGATGCCATCAAGAAAGCCTACAAGAAACAAGTAAGTCGCACAACCACCGACGATGATCTTGGGCTAGGATATGCTGACATTAAACTTTAACCAGGCATTGAAATGGCACCCAGATAGAAATGCTGGTTCGGAAGAAGCCTCTGCTAAATTCAAAGATGTAGGTATACTCACGTCACTGCTATTGCTTTGGGACTACGGCTAACATTAGGCTTTTATATAGATCAGTGAAGCATTCGAAGTCCTTTCCGACAAGAACAAGCGAGCCGTCTTCGACCAGTTTGGAGAAGAAGGACTAAAAGGTGGTGCACCACCACCAGACGCATCAGGAGGTTTCTCTGGCGGTTTCCCTGGTGGCTTCTCTAGTTTTGGAGGAGGAGGCTCTGGCGCTCGAGCATTCCCTGGAGGCACGCATTCATTCAGCTTTACAACAGGAGGTCCTGGGGGCGGAGGCTTCTCTCCGAGCAATCCATATGATATATTTGGGTAAGTTCTATCCCAATTCACTTATTGCTCCCATTATATAGCTCCCATTATACACATACTAACACGATCTTACAGAGAGTTCTTGAAGAATATGGGCGGTGCAGGAGGAGGTGGATTTGGTGGTGGCTTTGACGACGACGATATGATGGGCGGTCACAGTATGCCTGGTGGAATGCCCGGTGGAATTCCCGGCGGAATCTTTGGAAACCTAGGAGGCATGGGTGGTACCGGAGCTAGAACCAAACGACGCGGTACTGGGCGCACCGAGCCCGCGAGCCCACAAGATGGTAGCCCCCCCGAAGTTATCCAACCTCTCCGTCTCAAGTTGGAAGACATTGCCACTGGAACG